GACAACTGCACACCAGAACAGCCAGACACAAGAACAATTTTTTTCCCCAAACGCCATCACTCTGCTAAACAAATAATTTCCTCAACACTGTCAAACTATTTACTAAGTCTGCATTACTATTAATATTACTATTAATTCTCCCATTCTTCCTTTCACCCATCTCCTCCCACTTGTGACTGTATAACTCTAACCTTGTTGCTTGTATTCTAATGATTTATATTGGCTGTTTCCTAGTATGATTTGATTGCTTATTGTACCCTATGACTATTATTAAGTGTTGTACCTTATGATTCTTGCTCTTGATGAATGTATATTTTCTTTTATGTACACTGAGAGCATTTGCACCAAGACAAATTCTTTGTGTGTCCAATCACACTTGACCAATAAAGAATTCTATTCTATTCTATTTTAGTTGCTCATATGTGTCAGTTATGGAGTGACATTCTGATCCTGGAAGCAATATGACCCTTGGACAATGGAAGTAGCCTTGGAATGCAATGTAGTTATGGCCCGGTGCCACAGTTTGTGTATTTCTAATCTATGGCTTAATTAACTCAAAAAAGTTTTAAGTGTTTCATATTCAAGAATAACCATATGAATCTAAAACAGGAAAATTCGATGTTGCAAGCTAGACAGTTCCTTGATCTGATGTTACGGAACTATGCCCATACAGGACAGAATCATAAAAAAGCAGCAAGTTGTTTTTACACAAAGTCTACTTACTTGTATTTTAAACACATTTAGCATTTGGGTATTATGATGTTATCATAATATGTGATGCGATATACTTCATAACCCCCAAATCATACAGAGAAAGTATTTTTAGCAATCTGGACTTCTTTCTGCACCCTAATATTTCTCATTTTTCTCCCAAAAGCTCTAAAGGAAACAAATTTTAGCAAAAGCATAGCTCTCTGTTCACAACACCGACCCCTGTGTTAAATATATAGTACACTTAATATATCAGACAACGATTTGACTCTATTATACTTGTGAAATTAATGCACTATATCTCTGTAAGCACAGAAATGTAGTGCTTAGATCAGAGGACTCTAGTTAAACCCTTCAATGTACTCACTGAATGACTTTGGTCAACCATGTTTTCTCAACTCTACCTTCTTCATTAGATTATGTGATATTTAGTGATATTTTCTTAACAATGCTGATTTAAGATGTTTTTAGAATTTAATATATCCTTCTAATATGAAATTATTAGTCCTCACAAAATGTGGACAGCATAGCATTAATTTTAAAGTAAACACGACTATGTCTGAACCAATGTATTTTAGTTCATTGTCTAAAACTGCAATACAGTAAAGGGAGAATCACATAAAATAGTTGATACACATTTTAATTCTATCCCAGATATTTTCTGGAATTACTGTAACCTACATTTCTAATACTTTATCTGTAAAACACACACAAAGCAACATCCCTTCTCTCTAATAACTTTTTGCTTTCAGCACATTAATAATAATACTGTTAAGTCAGAAACATGGAGCAACTAAATTACCTACATTCTGATCTTATCATCTAGGAGTGTCAATTGTCAATCTCTGGGTCTGGTTGAAATATGTTTTGCAATCCAAGAATACATTCAGATTTTTATTCATTATTGAAAAAAATTACCAGAAAAGGGAAGTGAGGGGATACGATATTGAAAGCCAAAAATTATCATGAAGGATGCTACAAAATATAGTAAAGTAATAATTGTACTATATCAAAATCAGAGATGTCACAAACTTTAAGTAACTTCAAGATTTCTGGCTAGACCAGGAATTTGCAGAACTAAACACTATAAAACTAACACAATACATTAGATAGTATTATTAAATAGGACATTTGGAGTTTAATACTTTAAAAAACATTCTTCATTTACAACAGGGGTCTTCAAACTTGACAGCTTTAAGACTTGTGGACTTCAACTCCTAGAATTCCTCCTCCAGTCATGTTAGCTCAGGAATTCTGGGAGTCCACAAGTCTTAAACTTGCCAAGTTTGAAGACCCTTGAATTACAGTCATATTGATATTATGCTATACCTTGGGTGCCTTGATTTTAGTTTGGTAACAACAGAAGTTTGAACAGGAAGTAGTTTTACTAGTAGATCATTTTTCATTACAAATAACTGTTACCTGGTTGTTTAACACAAGCAACATAGGTGAGGCTGTTCTAAAGAACCCTTTTTTATTTGAATACACATGTTAACTCAGTAAATGGCACAGGAAATATTAGCAATTAATATTAGCCCTGAGGCACCATTTTGCACCTTGTTCAGCTTGCGGGATTTCCATATTCTAGCAAAGAAGCCATGAAAATTAGAAGTTTGCCCACTATCGTTTATACAGCCTTTACGTAAGGTGTGAAAAATTATTAAACCTGGCTCTCGATTTATACAAAATCAAGATGTGGTAAATTATACCAGAGAAAAAATAATATTCATTCTGACTATTTTATCATATTTTTGGTGGGAGAGGAAGCAATGAGTGTTGCATAAATTCTTAATCTACACTTGAGCATCAATATATATTCAATATACACATACTTTCTTCTATATTTGAACATCAACATTTCTATTAATTCAAAAGTTGCTCTGGATCAAATGCCAATATTTTAGCTAAAGATGCTTCTTTGTTAGATAAAGTCTAACACAAAAGCATCTTATTATTTTGAATAAAATATTTCCATACCAAACTTGAGTTTAATGAAAAATGTATTAAGATTAAAAATATAGTTAAGAAGACAGCAAAGAAGCTAAAAAATACTCAGGGATTAATGAAGCAACAATTTTGCCTACACTGAAAGTATATCATTAATACGACAAGAGGGGCAAATACGAACCCCACTCACCCTAGCAAGAAGCACAGAAAAAGAAGTGCTGTATAATGAAAGTTTACATCTTTTAAATTGCATAGCAAGCAGTGAAGTTCAAGGTAGTTTAAATACTTCTACAGATATAATACTTCTCTGGTTTTAACAACAGTGTCTAAAGAACAACAATTCATTGTAGTTATTTTAGTTACATACCAAATGTATTTATTTAAGATGTACAAATGTAAATGTAGCTACTTAAAAAACAGCTTTTTCAAAAAAATAAACTGAGTTGCCTCAAGTGTAACTGGGGAGTCAAACAAGTTTTATGCACCTGTTTAATTCCACCACCAGTTTCCTAAGACACACCTTTAGTTCAGCAGGTGCAATTCTGTGTTCTGACAAGTCTGAAAAATGGAGGAGGAAGCTAGTCCTGACTAGCACCATTCCAGTTAGCCTTTGATTTGCATAAGTATCTGGGAGCCAATTCAAATTTCAGGATTCACCGTATGAAATGAAAAAAGGAGTCAATGGTTTTAAGGATACTGCCTGAACAACTACCAATATATCACTGAAGCAGGGTTCCAGGAAATATGATAGATTATACAATGGATCACTTGAATGTCATACTTTTGCTGAATTCTAAGCATGTGGTGTCATCATAACGGGAAAACATACACGCAAGGAAGTTGACAGTGGAATCCATTCACAGATCTCCCTAGACCCTGAGCAAATACTGTTCTATAAAGTGGGATTAGAATACTGGATTTATATTGAACTTTTGCACTCCAAAACACTCCCCCCACACCCACTTTAGGTATTTCCCACCAGACCAAAAACATAATGAATCATTAAAAAAGTAACAAAAGCAGTGTGGCAAGCTGATGGCAGCTTCCATGTTCAAATTACACAGGCTTTCCACCTGAACTTTGACATGATGCCCTTTGTCTGTGTAAGCATTCCACCAATGCCACTGAAATGTATCAGCCATGTGGGTCAGCATATTTAAGATATCTGCATGGTTTCAGGAAGCAGGTAGATGCTGGCAATGTATAGTTCAAATCTCTGTTTAGACATGAAACTGCTAAAGGGAATGGAATGGAATGAACGTTCTGTCTCTACCCTGCTTCTTGGAATTGAAAAATGTAGGGAAAGGGATGAGGAAAGCCTGAAGTGCAAAGGGCATTTAAACATAACAATTAGTGAAAAAATTAAAGACTCCCTCCAACTTGGGTTTAGAATGACAGTGATGGATCATATGCAGGATACCCATAAATTAAAATACACACCAATAAGACCACAAATGAAAGATCTGATCCTTGTCCTAAATACCCTTGAATAGGATGGAGTCTCTGGAAGTTTCCCAGTTATAAATGGTCTGGCTTTTGGCTTTTTGAATAATGTCCATGTTCCACAAGCCTTTCCTTGTCCAGTTGATCTATTTACTTTACTGAAGCCAAGAACAAAGCATCTGAATAAGCTCAGAAGTTGCTTTCTTTTACCAATATTGTTAGGTATGTTTCTACTCAAAACAGCTTTTTGCACAGAGCCATCCCAGATGCAGGTGTCCCTGACTTACAAAAGTTCATTTAGTGACCATTCAAAGTTCCAACGGCACTGAAAAAAGTGACTTATAACTGTTTTTCTTACTTACAACTGTTACAGCATCTCCATGATCAACATTCAGACACTTGGCAGCTGGTTCATTCTTATGACCACTGCTGTGTCCCAAGGTCCTGTGATCAGCCTGTTGCAACCTTTTGACAATGGGGAAGCCAGATTCACTTAACAACCAGGTTACTAACATCACTGGCAATGATTCACTTAACACCTGTGGCAAAAGAGGTCGTAAAATGGGGCAAAACTCACTTAAGAAATGTCTCATTTAACAACAGAAATTTTGGGCTCAATTGTGACCATAAGTCTAGAGCTATCTGTACTAATACTGGCTCCAATCTTCAGACAGCTTTCTCAAGCAGTCCTGACTTGCCAGGAGGGAAAAAAAGAGATCGAACTAGCCGACAAATACACACACGCGTTCCCACATGCAGACATACTTTCCGCGGCCAAGTTCTTTCCGCCTTATCCCCACTCGTGCACAGGCTGCTCCAGGCACCTGTCGCCCTTAGAGCGGCAGGCTCCACCCCAGGGCCGCCTGGCTCGGCCTCCCCCGGGTCCCGTCCTTCCTCACCTGTCCCGCGGGTCGACCCAGCTGGTGGTTTTGGTGGCGTGGTCAATGTAGTAGACTTTGCCGTCGTAGTCGCGAGCTTCCTCCCAGCCTTCGGGCAAAGGCAGCTCCTGCCGAGGCATCGTTCCCGGCAGCAGGCGCAAGCAGCTGAGAGACGGACCGAGGCCGGAGGCGGAGGCGACGGCCACCCCATGCAAAGAGAGTTCAGCAACCCCCCGCCCAGCCCAGCAGCTGGCACGGCGGGCTGGGACGAGGGGTCGCAGCGAGCAGGGAAACGGGAGCGAAGCAGCCGGCCGGGCGGGCACCTCGCATCCTCAGCCGGCGCGAGGAGGAAGGAGCGGCGCGTGCAGGGGAGAGAAGAGCTTTTTCGAACGTTGCAGGCAACACGCGACAGCCCAGGTTGGCCGCCGTCCGTCCCTCCTCCTCCTCCTCCTCTTCCTCCTCCTCCTTCAATAAACGAGCCGGCGGCTTTTTTTTTTCTTCCCCGCTTCTCTCTTCAGAGGGAGACCACCCCCTCCCACCGAGAAGGGGCGGGTCGGGGTTGTTGCAGCCGCGGGTCCCTAGAGAGGTCAAGCCCACGTCTTTTTCCCGGGCTTTTGCTTCCAGGGAAAGTAGGGCCGCCAGCTAGCCAAGGCTCCGGTGCCGAGCGCTCCTCGCCAGAGAGTCTTGCAGAACCGCTCCGCCCGCGGCTGTTGCTCCTCCTCTCCTCACCGTTGTCTCCTAGGTTGCTTCCTTCATTCCTCCCCCGTGCCGGTGCTACTGTAATACAGGTAATAGTAGAGCCGCCTCAACTTTTTTTTCTTTAAAAAAAAAAAAATCTAGCGGCGGCTATTACCATAAACACGACCGTGTCTGTGACGAGCGCCTCCTCCTGTTTGAGGCGGGGAGGGGGAAGGGAACGAATCGGGTTAAGTAAGAGAAGCGAACCTGATAGTGGGCGGTGGGTGGATTCCCACGTGCGGTCAACTCTCGTTAGCAAGTGGGAGGGTCGGGTAGTTGGTCAGAGGTGATTCGTAGGAGACACTCGTGCACCGAAACCAGGTTCAGGTGCAGGTAATCAAGACGGCTTGGGATCGTCAAGCCCTTGGGAGAGAAGGGGGACGGAGGCTGGAGATAAAATTTGAGTAGAAGATGCAATGCGGGGCTCCCCTTACTGAAGACAGCTTGCCAACGATTTGTATTAAGCAAAGGCGACCGTGTGACTGGTGCCAAACCGAATTGGTAGAACCAAGGTTGAGACTTCAAAATCGGCAGAATGAAAACCTTACAGGAAAGCTCCCCCCCCCCGCAAATAAGATTTTTTTTCCCTCCCCCATTCTACAAAAACAGCAGTTCCTTAACTCTTCTTTCTTATCTACGTAAGGAACAATATGTGGAGAAAGAAAATGTCGACTGTAGATCTTGAAAAAACTTGGAAGGAAAGGAGAAAAGAAAAACATTTGTGTTACCCGATAAACATGGAGTGTGTATCTCTAAGCCACGTGGAACCTTCATTTCCACCATATAGAGGGCAATCTGTGGGTATCTTGACCCCAGAAAGGACTGTGGCCTGTGTAAATGAGGGGGGGAAAACCACCCACTAGCTGATGGTGACTTCATGGAGGGATCCATGTCATTTTAATAATGTAAAGATGGTTTGCTATCACCTTCCTCCAATATGTTTTTTAACTTCCTAGAAACTAAACTTGGTGGTCTTCCATCAAAGTGCTTAACCTTATCCAACCCTACTAAACATCTGGAGATCAGCTGAATAAGTTAGGTGCTGCCATCTAGCTATATTTAAATTCAATGCACAGCCAAATTGGCACCAAGTGGCAACTTGTTTCAAATTGGAAAAAAAAAGTTGATAATCATTTAAGAGCAAGAAGACTAAAGTTGGCAAGTCAATGGTTTGATATATGTCAATATAGTATTTATATGATGACACCATTTTAAATCACCATTTTACACGTGCTTAGAAATCAGTGGGGTTTATTTCTGAGAAAACATGTATCAGATTCTATTAGGTAACAGTCTATGTTTGTAACATATAACCAAAAAATTAGAAGTAGACATCGCATAATTCTAAAATGATAAAGTCTGAACATAGAAAATAATAACTTGAAAGACAAGTCAAGCATTTTGACTCTTATATGCCATGAGAACCAAATGTTGTTCTCCAAACATTGCTGAAATACATCCTTGTAATATTTCTTCCTCTTGGTCACATTGACTAGAGCTGCTGAGATTAATACATTTATGGTGAATCCTGCACCACACACAGAGGCTTTCCTGTCTGCAACAAATGATCAATGAATTTATCCAAATATAATGACATTAATCCAACCACAATGAGAAAGTACAGTAGCTGCCTGTTTTTTTGCTACTGCTCTGTTCTGTGTGCGGCAAACACTTAAAAAAGGACAAACAGACTTTTCTGCCATGTGCTGACTGGCTGGATGCTTTGGGGCCAAATATCCCGAGCATCTTAGTCAAGAAAGATGGGATCTTGAAATGCTCATTGTGGTGGTGGTGGTGCTGGGAAAAATCTTTAACAGGCCTTGCGGGACCATAGAAGCTGGCAATAGTGGCTGGCTTTTCCCAATGATCTTTCTTTTGTGTTGCTTTTTTGTCATCATCTGGACTTTTGGCATCTAATTCTGGACATCCCCACACAATGCACAACCTATCCATAGAAGTTGTGAAGGAAGACTAGTTGAGTTGCAGCAAAGAGAATTACAACTTGAAAGTCTCAGTAGCAAACAGGGACACATTTTTTTTATACATTTTAAAAATAAAAACTTGCTGTGAACTTGGACTTTGAGTTTAAATGAACAGATCCATATTGTCTATACAAGCAAATATGACAACCAAGTTATAATCATGATTTAATCCAAATGATGTTCCTGTGACAAGCATTCAGCAACGCTGTAATGGCAGAGCCCTTGATCACTGCAGAGAAAGAATGGATATTGAAGGAAAAGATAATACTTCTTTTCTGACGGAAAATATATACCACCAACTGAACATAACAGACCATTCCCCAAAAAAGAGCAGCTGTTATATGACTTGCCAGAGATAGAAAAGTCTCTGTGAATTCATACATAAGATATAACTTATGCTTAACATATTGCTTTGGGTTTTTTCAGATCTTCAGAACATTTACATTTAAGATCTTCAGAACATTTCAGAACATTTACAATGTGGAGGCGCACTGAAACAAAAAAAAAAAAACTGAGCATGCTTTAAGACAGCTTTCACATTGTCTAAGATCAGCTATGAATGATAAAGAGCAAATACAAAAAGAACTTCAAAAATAAGATACTGCAGCACATACTCAAGATACCATGGCAACTGCACAATTCCAGCACCAATCATAATGGTACATCAAAATATCCCTCCCACATATGTGGAAGGAGAAGGCCAAGGAAGGCCATTAAATATGATTAAAATGAGGAATGGCATTTTCCCTATAGTCGCAATGGTTGTTATATCATTATTGGGCTGATGCAACATGTTAAGCAATGATTCATATCAATAGAGACAGCCTTCTAGCTGATATTAATTAATAGGAACTGAAACATTGCCCTCTCTGTCCAGTCATACAGGATGGGCAGAAACTAAAGATATAGTCTCTCAAACAATCTGGCCCTACATCATGAAGGACTTTATAAATTGTAACCAAAACCTTGCATATGCATGTTTCAGCATCATTGCTGCTGCATTTTGGATCACCTGTAGCTTCCAAGTAGTCTCAAGACTGATGTTAAGTGGAACATGCTGCATACTGCAATAGTCCATAGCAATCATAGCTAAATCCCATGCAATAGGCAAAATCAGGAAGGAGAATTGTGTAGATCAGTGCTTGGGTTCATCTTCAATCTAAATTCTCTTTAGATTGTCCCCCTGATTTAAAGCTATGAATGGTTATTTCAGTGAATAAAGGTTTTTTTTTAGAAGTGATATCCAAATTTCTATTCTGTAATTATTTCTACATATTAGTTGATTTTCCTAATAGTTGATTTCTTTTAATATTCAAAAATAAGCTTAAAAAATGTTCTATTAAAATTGAAAGCTATTTCAACTTCCTGCTATAATTTTAATAATGTTAGACTCCTAAAAACTCATTCTTAAAGGATTTCTGGAATAAATTCCATAAATAAATTCATGATGGCTACTGGACTGGTCCTTCCCTGCCTCTGTTGGTGAATTTCATGATGTCCTCGAATCAGAAGATGTAGGGGTGGCCTAATATTCAAATCAAAACAACTTTTTCTTCTGGGTTTTCCCTTCTTGCTTTCCCAGTTGACACATCAGTTGGTGCTCTAGTACAGTGGCCCCCAACCTTTTTTGTGCCACGGCCCGGTACCGGCATCACAAAATCATCCGCGGCCCAGTACCGGCATCACAAAATCATCCGCGGCCCAGTACCGGCATCAGCATGCATGGCAAGGCGAGCCGAGCGATCGGCCGGCCAGCCGTCTCCCCGCCACCTTCAACTCCTCCTTTGTACCTGTGTCGATGGGCTTCGCGATGGCTTCGGGACGGTCGCTCGGCTCGCCTTGCCATGTGTGCTGAAAGAATCCTCGCGCCTTAGTTTTGTTCGAAGCCACCACCCCCTCGATGAAACTAAGGTGCGACGATTCTTTCAGCACCCAAACGCCGCTTTCTACCTGGAAAAGCTCACCGGAAGCACTTTTTCATCAAAACAAGATGGCGGCGCCCAGCAAACCGGCGGCCCAGTAGAAATTGTTCCACGGACCGGTACCAGTCCAGGGACCGGTGGTTGGGGACCCCTGCTCTAGTACACAGACTTCATATGCATATTACTGGATCCCCAGATCAGCAAGATGAAAGCCAATCTAACATCACAGGGACTGATGTTTCAAAGAGCAGGTGCCTCTTGGATCCTGTAACATAGCCATGCTAAACCTGATGGGACATGTAGATATGATTGGGATGCAGTCCCTCAAATAATTATTAGTTAACATGTCCCAAAAATGGGAGGGGGATCTGTTTTGTACACCTGTTTTGGCACTGGGCTAGAAACGCCTTAGCTTCTCACCTGTAAAGGAGATAAGGGGAAAGTTGCACTTTCAGATTACAAAGATTCTGTTAACGTATGGCTGACATCAGTCTTGCAAGTCTCATGCTCTCTTCCAAAGAAGAATTTTAGAGGGCCTCTGCTTTCTTCTGAGCTTTTGGCAGCAGTGTTGTGCAACACCAGCAACAAATAGATGCACAGATGACCAATTTACAGAATGCCATGATAAAACTAATGCAACAGCAGGGACAGAATTTTCCTCAACCTGCATCAGCACAAGAAATTGCGATTCCACCAATACTCCTGTATTCCCATGCGATCTTGCTGGAGAAGTTACAGAGAATCCATTCTGAGCACTCTTCTCTGCCTATTATGCAGTTGTGGACTATACACTATTGTTTGAGTATTCTCCAGACAGCATCCCCCTTCCTCATTTCTCAAGATCTTTCTCATATGCCATCATCTTAGGAAATTGTGTGTTCTAGGATGTCTGTACATAGCCTAGGATGGCAAAATGACACTTCCCAAAAAACTTTGTTGAGAAATCTATAGACATTTACAGGCAGTGTCCTGGAGTCAACACTGACTTTAAGGGACAAAAAAAATCCCCAAGTCTTCCCCAAATTACAGTTTTTCCCTTCACTGTATGGGACACATTATACACACATCT